GATACTTAGCTGTACAATACACGTGAAGAAAGAACTCATTACTTCAAAGAAAGATTCAAAAATGTAAAATACCGTACTCTGTATATTGATAAGTCTAAAAGCATATTTGCCTTGTGAGTATTAATGTATAAAAAACAAAGGGAATACGGCAGAATTGTCGCACGGTAAAATGAAGCATTTTATATGTGGCCTTGAAAAAAATTTCATCGACGAAAATTTGGGAAAACAAAATTATAAACGAGATTTTTTGCAATAAGATTCCACAGTGTTATACACGTATTGTGCGGTATTCTAATCATGACTTTAAAAGCTGAGTCTGGAGGTTTTTCAAATGAGCACAAAGACCGAGAAGAAGCTTCTGATAAGTAAATCATCTTTTAAACGTAAATTTCTGAAAAAAACACAAATTTTCCGGACAAGAAATATACACTGTATTTGGAAGTCTTCCACAGTGAAAGACCTCCATAATTTTGGCAGCCTCTTCAAAAGATTAATAATCATTTTACGTGATTTCGGAATTATTGCGTGCTTTTATATTTGAATTTTTTTTTTACCAAACTTGAAGAAGCATTTCTGCACAAATTGGATAAAAATTGAATAAAGTCAGTTATAAAGAAAAGTTTGAATATTTTGTGGCTTTCTTTCTCATCTAACAGACTTAATGTCGAAACAATGCTGCAAACCAGCTGATTTTATTTATGCCAGAAGCCCTTTTTCAAACAATATTACTGATAAAGTGCCTGAAACCCGTTCTTACTGACGTGTAACAGAATTTAATGCCAAGGCAAATGTTCACACTAAATCAAAATTCGATTGGAGTTTTGAACATCTCATGTAAGAATAATTGCAATGCGTTCTTCACATTTCAAGCTACAATAAACTGCTCAAGATTGAAGAATAATGCCCAAAAATTACTAAAAAAATATTGTACCATATGCCCCCTACGTTTTTCTGTGGACTTCCGTGTACAAGTACAGTTGAAGAGAGAGAGGATAGGATAACGAACAAGACTTTACTTCGACGCAAAAAAAAAAAAAAGAAAAAAGAAAAAAGTCTCCACACCGGGGCACAGAGGGGCCATAAAAATGCACAAGTACCGACGCCGCGAACGTCGCACCCAGCTCGGAAAAGGCCGCCCAACATTAACCTTTTCAGACAAAGATTAAAGGGTTCGGTCCGCGTATCTCTCGAACTACACACCCAGGAAAAAATTCCTGCCTTGTCTAGCCGCCACTAAAATTCCTCCTGCATGAACGAAATAATGCCTCAGTGGAGTCACACGGAAAATAAAAATAAAAAGAGACGGAAGCGAAAATAAAAAGGTATGTTCCAAATACAGAACATTTTCGAATTTAACCAGCGACGTTTTCCCTGGCCATCTACTTACTGTAGATATTATTATTTTCTTATTCCAGGATGATGGACTAGAATAATTTCGAGCAATTTTACTGAAAAATGCCTTTGGAAAATTGCGAAAATTGACAGGATTTTGCTTGAGTGAAATTTCCATTTTCTCGTTTTTCGAATCACGTTTGTTTAATTTTTTAAAACATATTTTATTCGTTGTACTCAGAAAGAAACAGATTTTTCGAAAAATTTTCCGAAGTACGGAGAAACGGAGCTTTTGAGCTGCGATATTTGAAGAACTTGAAATGACGCACAGTTGAATTTAGGCTCGACGAAATATCAACTTCACGAGATTTCAAATGGCACTATGCTTTTATTTATATTTTAAATTTATTGTAAATTCAAAATTATAAATTCTCAGTTTCCTCATTGCTGTAGAAACTTAATTAGAAGAAAATTAGTGAAAGAAACGAACGAGGGAATTATTCCTTGTATCATCGTATCGAAACTAGTCCAACATTATAATCAAGATTAAATTTCTTCTTATATCAAAAGTTATTAGTCTCAATCGATCGATTAGCAAAGGCTACAATTCTTACGCCTCAAGTGAAATTAAATAAAAATTGCTTTGTTACATTACATCTGTTGGTCGCTTCGTCGAAAAAAACTGATAGGGTTATTCGAGGGTGTAAGTTTTATGGTGCATTCATTAATATTTCTCAGTGTAGGAGAAAAAATCTCGGCGGGGCTGGAAAAGGTCACGACTCCGAAATTCCTCCCGACGAGATTTATTATACTCACAAATTCTACGTCATGAGATATATTCTCTTTCGGGTTTGATAGCATTATTTCCAAGCACAAAAAAGTTATTGGGTATTTCTTCGAGTTTTTTTTTCTCATTATCAGCTGTTTTCCGCGTTCATATATGGGATTTGATGTGGGTGGCTCAGAATTAATGAAGCCTTTGGAAAGGGTTCTTGATTTCCTCGGTCGCGTAAAAAAAAAGCATTTGATCAAGGAAATGTAGCTAAAGATCAAACATTTAGCGGAAGAGGGTATGATTTTGACACATAAAATTGCCCCAGAAAGAGGAAATTAGTTTTCTGGAGACATCTAAGGCTTCTTCGGCCATTCGTGCAATTCGTCTATCTGTAATGAAGGTCAGACCACATGCTGTTTCGGGAAACCAACTCTGTTGCGGTCACGATGATTCGCGCGTTCTGAAGTCGTACATTATTATACGACACACATGACATTTTGATCGAAGTGACCCCAAACTTTTTAGCTTCTTCATATCGATCTATGACGAGAGTATTGCATTTTTGGGAAAATGTCTGCATTAGTGAATGATTAATCAATAATTTGATTAAATAATGTATTAAGTGTTACTGTGATTGAAACAAATTTTGATAATACTGCTGCTGAAGTGCTATACTTAAAATTTAAAACTAATTTTTAAAAGAGCGATGCTTATGTAAACAATGAGACGATCCATAAAAGAAGAAAAACGCCGAAGTAAGGAATGCCTACCAAAATTCATCACACGAAAATCGATGTCCATAAAAACGAACCTCCGTTTCAACGAAGATCAGGAAAAAATACGAACTTCGGATTGTGAATTTTAGGCAGAAATCCAAAATTGAATTTTGTTAATTTTAGGAGGCTAAATAAGGTTGCTTTGTATACTGTAGTTGCTGTTTTATTGGCTTTTCTTCTCCGATCGTGCTTCTACCGTAATTAATTTTCCGCCCTTCGTTTAACAAATTCAAGTAAAATTCAGACGTATAAAATAGAGCGATTCCAGGAGAAGGAATGATGAGATCATTTTTAAATTTTGGAACGTTTTATTCAAATTCATTCTGCATGAGACAATGAGTTTCATTTTTATGATACAGATGGACTCTCTCAATACATCCAGTGAAATTCCAGAGACGACTGGGAAAATCCGTCGTGGAGACAATTTTCTTGTGGTAGACGAAGATAATCCCAAAAATACAGTACAGAAAGAAATGCGTTAGGGACTCAAAAAAATTCGCTTTACAGGAAAATCATGGTGAGCAAGATCATTGTAGAGAGAGTCAACCTATAATACTTGAATGTAACTTTTATTCTGATTCAAAACAAACGTCGAAAGAAACAACGATTCCTTTTTCAAACTTTGTTGTTCGTATCACAAAAAAAGGAATCCAAAAAAATAGAGTAAATTTCGTCATATTCCGCGGTACTTCTTCTCATGAAAGGTGAAAGATCACGTACGGTTCAATTATATTTTATACTCGTCATTCGTCACTCGATGAAAACCTTGCCGAAAACTTCCGCAGATTGAAATTTTAAATAAAAACTCAAAATTTATAAAAAAGAATATTCTTCAAAGCTATATGCAATCCGAGAAAAACGTTTCATGTACTGTAATGCTTGTATACTGTACCGTAACCGCGACCCGCGTCGGTACATTCTTGGTGTTTACTTCAGCACGTGGCACTTCCGTCGCCAAGATTTCACGAATGACTCAAACGTGAGGGTTCAGTGCCATTTCCCTGCAAGCCTGATGAACTTCTCGGAATTGTGTTCCGCAAGCCACGTAATATGTTGGCTGCGTGCACAGGGATTCCTTCCAGACCTTTTCCATACAATCTCCGTTTTGGTTGCCGGTTCAATTCGCAATATATGATGACTCATCATGCACATCACTGGATTTTGTGTCTTTATGAATATTCAGGCAATTCATTTTTATTTTTGTGGGTGGTGAAATTTAAGCCTTCTATTTTTAAATTTTAATATCAGAAATCTTGAAGTTTTCCATTCCATCCCGGAAAATGAAATTATCTGCTGAATAATGTAATAATCCGTCCCTGCTGGCAGTTTTATTATAGAGCAATAAATAAGGCTGTGAACATTTTAATACTGTATTCGTGAGTTACATTTTAATCTTGGAAAGCATTCATCATAGCATTTGGGTTTCGTCGTTAGTTATCGTTTGCTGACAGCAAATAAATGCTGTCCATGAGAAGATTAATTTTATCAAATGACTTGTGTTGAACTAGATTTTTTTCTTGCAAAACTAGATTCCATTGCTCAACATTTTAAATATCGGCGAGTATCCTGCATTCGGGATTGCCCTCATTTTGAAATCAAAATTGATATGAAATGGGATACTCAAGTTATACAAAAAAGAGAAGAAGTCCAATTGGAGCATCGATTCAAAATATTCAGAATTTTCGCTCACGAGCTTGTATTTCCATTTATTCCATGTACATTTTTCAAGAACTGAATTCGGTCTAGCTTTCATATCTTACAAATATAAGCAAAGAAAATGCTTCCGAGATGAAAATATTATTTCAAAATTACAATAAAGATCCAGCTTTCTCTTGAACCTCAACTGGTTTGTATCAATCCTATTCCAACGTATACCGTGCTAATTTTCGTACAATCAACGAAAAACTGAAAAAAAAATGCCTCATGTTTTTCCCCAAGAATCTGAAGCACCAGAAAAATGACCTCACCTTTCTCACCTGAGAGCACCAGCCTGGCGGCCGTCAACTGGGATCCCATAGCTTCGGCTAGGGTTCGGATTTATTGGCGCATGCGTAAAATTCGCATGGAAACCCGCGGCGATACCCGGCACCATGCACCCATCGCGTGATGCAATCCTGGGTCACTTCGCACTCAGTCAAGGACAGTGCCGACGGTCGACTCGGTTCCATGTCGACACAAATGTCATTCATCGTCAAACGCAAATTTTCGTGATTGGACAAATTTCCTCGTGTTTTATTTTTTGCAAAGCGTCATCACCTGTTGTTATTTTTTCTGAACGGTGAGCTTTTTTCACTCCCTCGATTAATTACTGTTCGTAGTGAAAACGGCACATGGTGTATTTTTTTATTCCAGTTTGGTGAAATTTTTCTTTCGAAAACAAAGGGACTCATATCCAGATCAAAATTATCGAAACTCCGTAATTTATGGAAGTAGGTCACATGATCTTTGAAAGCCAGCCAATTTTTTGAGCAGCTCCTTTTTTATTTGCTTGGCTTTAATATATTTCTCGAAACCAGGAATAATATGGTTATAAGAGTCCTATATAATTTGTTATTCGACGCTCTTGATTAATTTTTGGGTCTTACATTCAGTTGATACTGTATTTTTCAGGTCGTGACAGAAATAAGCTGTGCTCAAGATGATTTATATTAACGCGGACGAAGAGACGGAGAACATCACCGAGGATCAAATCATCGACGAAATAGAAGAAGTCGAGAGGACTTTGATTGAAGAAAATGAAAGGAAATTGTCGGTGTTCAGCATCCAGGCTCCTCCAGCAGTGACCCCGTTGCCTTTGATGCCCGGGATCATCGCCCCTGATCCCATTTTGGCGCAACCCAATGTCCACGAAATATTTCCGGGGGTGGAGTCGCCGAAAAAGTCTAGAAAAATCTGCTGCAATTGTTGTGAGTCAACTCATGAGCATTTCATTTTCCAATTTCATTTCCTGGATGCCATCCGTTATTATTTCAATGTTCAAGTTTGAAAAGGTTTATCGAAGCCGGTTTTGCTTTAAACCAGGTCGTTTTATTTGTAATTAATCGAAATATTCTGGATGAGTCACGTGCTGAATTTACAAACACGAGTTCAGGACTGATTGAAACTGTTCTCACAGGTTTCCTGCGTTTCAAGGATTATTACGTTTTAGGTTCAGGATAGAAAATCAAAGAGTGATAATACAATCTCAGACAGTTCGTTCCTCTACAAAGATAGCAATATAAAACTGTAACAGAAAGCTGCAATGCACAGTAGCATGATCATCTTCATTTTTTCACATCGCCGGTCAATTCGAAACTGCTTTTTACGGACATTTTTTAAATTTTTTGGAAGGATGTGCAATGCAATTGAAGTAAGGGAAATGTTTTTCACTATATTCAATGAAGATGAAATGGATACGTAAAAAGAAAAAAGCATAAAACGAAACACTTGAGTCCGCTCTCGACGATAAAAAATTCGCCGGTACATTTTTTTCATGGCATATTTCACTGACATTCACACAATGGCCATCTCAATGAATTTAAACGCAGAAAATTTGACATCTTGGGGATAAAATTCAGTTACATGATTTGACGTATTTTTTTTCTTTCTACTTCACAGCCTATACAGTAATGGGTAATAAAATAGTTCATTAGGAAGATGGGACAGTTTTCGGTTCGTCCCATGTCGTAGTAATAAACTCGAAAGGTTTACGATTGATTCCAGGCCGTTGAATTCGAAACCCAAATGTAGCCCATGGGAAATAAATGCTCCGTTCCTAAGATTACATTTCGCAGTAAGTCCACGAAGTTATTTTAAAACTTTCAAAAGAATATATTTTTCGTGCCACATTTTCTTTTTCGCTATCCACGCAGTGCCAAAAACCCACCGACTGCCCACCGACTGAATTGATCTGGAAAATCTGCATCGAATCATGTCAATAATTCCTGAAGGTTCACCCGAAGCTTTGCTCGCATGCAAGTGCGGTACCAAGAACTATTAAATCGTAACGATTGCAGACTTGTGTTGCTGGATAACGGCCCTCATT